AGAAGAATAAAGTATGGATATAAGTTTGGGCATCATTGGCATAGAGATTATATTCAGAACCATAGGACAATACGAAATGAGATCATGAGGAAGAGGCTGTCCAGTGGAAAGATAAGAGGATCCAGGATGAGGCCCTGAAGAACTACAAGATCTATGCACCTGATACCATAGGTTAGATAAATGCCAAACTTTAACAAAGGAGAAAGTCTACAACCTGCCCGCCATACCCCCACCTCCACAGAACTGTTGTTTGTTTGCTGGATGATGATAACTAATGCTACAAGTTTAACTTTCATTGTCATCTGTCAAAAAAATAAAAAAGACTGGGCGAGGGGTATGTGTGTGAGTGTGTATGTGTGTAATCATGTGACTTTAAGTAATGAGACTGACTTTTTAGTGCTGCTTATAAACCAGCTCTATAGGCAATTTTGAAAAATATCTGAGTAAAACATCTATACTTTAGAACTTGTTAGGTATTTGGATTATAACAAGCCTTTGTGCACACAAGTCATTCCTCCATTATTTCTCAAATATAAACTTGGCAATGGAAAAATGTACTGACTCTGTAATGGCCACCAAGAAATAATTTTTTATATTACACCCAGTGTACATGGAATATGGTCCCAACTGCCTCTGTTTAGAGAGGAGTTTGAATGAACAAAATGAAAGTTTAATTTTTTTTAAAGTTTCTTATTTCTGTTAGTCATGTTGTTCATTAAACCAGAATACCTATCATTGTGACATACTTTCTGAAATGACTGACTGTATATGCATGTAAGTGTATGTCTTAAATACAATGCCATCTAAAAGAAGTCTTTATCTATTCAGATGTGTATGAATTCATTAGGTTATGAGCCTATGTGATCTGTTGGGTTAAGAGTCAAACCATGTATCCTCATTAGGACATGTATATAATGACAACTACAAGTTGTGATTTCAGCAACTAAAATTACCAGATTTTATCATTCATTAAGCACTTCAGAGACACTTGAGAAATAGAATTTAAAATTTTCTCAGTTAAAAATATTGACCACCAATCATTTATTTTGTTATGATCCAAAACAGTTCTAAAAGCCTACAAGTCTTCACAATGCTTAGTTTCTATAGATTAGCTTCTGAGCAGCATACTCTTCCATTGGAATACTGTCTCCTTTTCAATTTCCTCTGAAGTCTTTTTATATGTCTTAAGTTAACTCAGAAATATGTGAGGATCCAGGTGTTGTTTTCTTTCAATAATGATAGAAGTTGTTCAGGGAGCATCAACAATTTATAAATTTATGAGATTACAGGGGATATGATTATTAAAATTGTATCTTTCTCCATTCCTGTTTCTGATATTTTAAATAAATCAAATGAAAATGTTGAACTAAACATATTCTTTATATATTCTCTCATATATTTCCTTATATGTTCCCTGGATAGCCTTGTATAAATTAATGAATAAATAAATACCATACATGATTCTTACCAATGATACACAGATTGTCGGAAAAGTCCAGAAACATAGGGAAAATATTTTATTTACTGTGTTTTTTCAGATTAATAATGGGCTAAAATTTAGAAATGCTCTACGTGCAAAAGAATGTGGGGAATAAAGAAATATACATCGTATATCTACAATATCTTATACAAATGTAACTAATACCTTGATTTTATTTTTACTTTACGTGCTGGAACTCAGCTGTTCAGAATCAGAGTAATGATAATTTTTGGTTTGTGTTATTCTCATGTTTGTTTAGTTATAGCCACTTTTATCCATTTTTTAAAATTACTAAATTATTTATTTTTCATAGTGGAATAGTCATCTATAAATCCACTATCCAAAACAAAAGCTAGGACTCTAGCAACAGCCCACAGTCAACCCCTGGCTCCCCCACCAACCCATTCCCCTCCTCCCTCCCACCAAAGGATCCAACCCAGAATCTTATGTTCATTGTTCCTTTGATCTCATCTTAGTGGTGTGTAGATCGATATAAAGTAATTAATCACAAAATTATATGCCTTACTTTGAGCTAATTTTTTCTCTTACTCTGTTCTATCATTGTAGGCATGGTTAAGACTGTGATATGTAGTTTTTACTGCCACAATGTTCTCTTCTAATATCCCCCCTCCCTAGGCAGAATGCCTGGATGTGAGATTATGTATTCACTCTTAGCTCTCCAGTAGTTCATTCTTTCTTACTCTGGGAACCACATCTCATCCCAAGTGATTTAAAAACATCTAAAAGATTTCTATTGACTACTTAGGTTTATAAAAGTTTTTATTTTATTAAAATATACAGTGCTACATGGACACATTTACAAACTCACCGTCATTAGTTTGCAAAGGCATACAGAACTGGCCCAAGTGGTTAAGGATTTTTAAAAGCCATTCAATTAGATTTCTGAATTTTCATGTTCCTTTCTCAAAAGGCATTAGTTACTTAATTTAAATGCAAAGTCATGTTTAAGGTTAATCTTGAGCATCTGAAATAAAGGACTAATGAATGTCCTTTAAATTGGGAAACAGCAAGAATGGAAGAGAAATCCTGCTGCAAAACTCCTCAGTCAGCAAAAGCAAAGTAAGTGTGATGATGATTCATGGTGTTTACTATCCTTTGTTAACATACATGGAATTCCCAAGAGTACAAGAGTGAGAGTAGTGGTTTAAATGAGGTGGGGGCAAACAAATGTGGTTCTGAAACCTTCCTTCCTACCCCACCTCAGTAACCTGAACAGTAGCATCCAGTACAACAAAGTGAGTTTGCAAATGTGGCATGCATTATTCATGAAATGGCAACTCTCATTCTGAATATAGATATTTAAAAGCATCAAGCATGTTTAAGCTTAGTTGAAACTGTGCATTTCTGATTATAACATTTGCTCACTGTAAGCCAATATAGACATATATTTCTCAAAATGATGTAGAACTGCCAAAGTTGCTAACCAGGAAATTCTTTCATAGACAGTGCAATGTTTAACCTTTTCTTTCTTCACTTATCTTTAATTCTCCCCCATTCCCAAATGAGTTGAAGTGGTTCTATTTAAACAAAAAACACATTGGAATTCTGAAGAAATTGACTCACCTGTCTTTTAAGTTGCAGGGTTGTTTTGTTTTTTTTTTTTAACAATATACAATATGCATTATAATATTGTAAATATTTTAATTTCTTAAGGATATTGAACACTAGTGTCCCTTAAAGAGGGCTCTTACAACATACTGCTGCAAGTATTGAAACTTAATCATGGAAGAAAATAATGTTAAAATAGTTCCAGGATAAAATCACACATGGTGGAGTTGTTCTCAAACATTAATAAGGCCACAAACTTATTTATGTATAATCTATAAGCTTGAAGAAGCTATGAACCAATATAATGCTAGGAACCCCCCAAAGGGTTAATATCTATGGACAGTATTTTTCATTTGGGCCTAGAAATACATTTTCCCTTTCCTAAATGTACCAACATAGGCTATTTCAAAGAGAAGCAAATGGAAGTGAAAAATAAATGTTTAAGTCAAGTGCTGACCCACGAAACAGGACTTCCCACTTAAGATACCCAAAAGGAACTCTAATTCCTTTCCTAGCAATTCGCACTCTGTGGAGAGCAGTACCAATAATATAGTATTGGTCTGGTCCAGACAGCATAAAATATATAAAACAAAAGGGAGTCACTCATGTCAACCGAGATGGCTGCCAGTCAGCCATGACAGTTTAGTTCAAGAGGGAAGCTACCTAAATCACCCTAGACACTTCTGGCAAGGAGACAAACCTAAGATATCTGCACATATGATCAGAACAGCCAGATCTGCAGAGCGGGACCACCCATAGATAGGCTCCTGGGGAAATTCCCCACTTGCCATCAGGGGTGCCAAGACCCTTATCAAGAGACAAAGAAGGGCGGAGCACACCACTTTCAAGGTGTAAATGAGGCAGGCTCCAGACCACTTTTGAGACAACTGAGCTACACACACCAAGATACTGCTCCCGGCCACACTGATCCTCCTTGGTACCTGCGACCCTCTGCCCTCTTGCCCACTTGGCTCTAGAGATCCTTTCTTGCAAGACAATGACGATGCAGACACTTGCCCACGATGCTGTCTCCCGCCCCTGAAGACTAAGACTCTGGGACCCCATTGATTATTGCGTGTGTTATATTTCTCTTAGATTGTTAGAGTGTGACCAAGATCCTAATGTATGTTGATGTTCTACTTTGAGTGAACCTGCATTCAATAAAAGCTGAGTGAATGGCATAGTTACCTTGTGTGACTCTTGTCTGTTCCTTGGTTCCTGGCTGCTCAGCAGGCAGCTAGTCAAGTAATTGTCCCAGTGACTTATAGGAAAGACTGTATCAGGAACATATGCTCCTGACACACTCCTAAATCACCTTCGACAGAACAGAGAAGCAGAGCCCAGGAAGGGACCAGCAGTTAAATAGAGCTGCCTCTGATGGGGAAAGGAGACGCTTACATTTCTCACAAGATTTTTTTCTCCCCACGGTGGCAGCCTTGATGAAAGCTGGTGCTGATTACAAAGTGTTGTGATGCCAGCTCCACCACTCCGGATGACGCACAATAGGCGGGCGGGCGTGGGCTGTGAGCAAGTTCCTCTTCTCCAGCTCTTCCTGTTAGTGTTCACCAAATTTTGGGGGGATCTGGGGTCCTAAAACTGCCTAAACTTGGAAAATGATACCCTTCGCCCCAGTCAGTAGCAACTTTCTTCCCCTCACCCTCCTGTGGTTAGCAGGGTGTTTGGCCTTCTGGTCCACTGCGTTCCCAGTGCTCCCGCGCCAACTATGTTCTTGACCTCAGAATAAATCAGGGCTGCACCGGGCCTGGCAGAGCTCCGAACACATTTCCTGTCGCAGGCTAAGGGAAGCTGTCTGCCGTCAGGACTCTGGTGGGGACCCTTGGAGGTTGGGGCGGGAGTGGGGCGGGGGAAGTAAGGGTAGAATCAGCTGTAGAGGGCGGTGACCGCGTTCTAAGGACAACTCGGTGCCCCTGGGCGGCACAGATACAAGTTGGGAGCAGCTGTTAGCGCGGGGCCTCCACGATGAGGCCGACGCTTACCCTATGCCTCCTCTGGCAGGCCTTCTGGCCGGGTCCGAGCCGTGGCGAGCACCCCACTGCGGACCGCGCGGGCTGCTCCGCCTCGGGGGCCTGCTACAGCCTGCATCACTCGACCATCAAGCGGCAGGCGGCCGAGGAGGCCTGCAACCTGCGCGGCGGGGCGCTCAGCACCGTGCGTGGAGGCGCCGAGCTCCGCGCAGTGCTCGCTCTCCTTCGGGCAGGCCCGGGTCCCGGAGGGGGCTCCAAAGACCTTCTGTTCTGGGTGGCGCTGGAGCGCAAGCGATCCCACTGCACCCTGAAGGACGAGCCGTTGCGAGGTTTCTCCTGGTTGTCCCCCGACGTCGGCGGGTCCGAAATCGACACGCTGCGGTGGGTGCAAGAGCCCCAACCCTCCTGCACTGTGAGGAGTTGTGCGGGACTCCAGGCCACCGGGGGAGTAGAGCCGGCAGGCTGGAAGGAGATGGGCTGCTACAGACGCGCCAACGGCTACCTGTGCAAGTATCAGTTTGAGGGCTTGTGCCCCGCACCTCGCCCCGGCGCTGCCTCTAACTTGAGCTACCGCGCGCCCTTCCAGCTGTACAGCGCGGCGCTGGACTTCAGTCCCCCCGGGACCAAGGTGAGTGCGCTCTGCCCCGGGCAGCAGTCCATCACAGCCACTTGCATCGTGGACGAGGTCGGCGCTCGCTGGGACGGGATACCCTCCGGGGCCGTGCTCTGTCCCTGCCCTGGGAGGTACCTCCGTGCTGGCAAATGCTCCGAGTTCTCTGATTGCCTAGACGACTCAGAAGGCTTTGCCTGTGAGTGTGCTGCGGGCTTCCTTCTGGGGAAAGACAGACGCTCTTGTGTAATCAATGGAGAAGGACAACTTAACCCCGAGGGAACCAAGGTGCCTACCAGTCACCCGCCGGCCACTGGAGCAAGTCCCATGCCGAGGAGAACGTGGTCACCCAGGGTCCATGAGAAACAAGGAGAGATACCCCATATCCCTGGACAAGGCAGTTCAGCAACATATATTCCCGACATTCCTGGGTGGGAAGCACAGAGCACGATGCCTACCCTTCAAATGTCCCCTCAATCCAACTCAAAGGCTGCCATCACTTCTTCAGGAAGCGTTATTATTCCCAAGTCTAATTCCACGTCTTCCTCTGACATTCCCCAGGTTTCGGACTCCTCCTCCACCGTGGTCTTCATACTTGCGAGCATAGCAGTAGTAGTGTTGGTGATCTTGACCATGACAGTACTGGGGCTTTTCAAACTCTGTTTTCACAAAAACCCTTCCTCCCAGCCACGAAAGGGGCCTTTGGCCTCTCCTGGTGTGGAGAGTGATGCTGAGGCCACTGATCTGCGTTCCAGTTCGGCACATTATGCAGACAATGGGGTGAAGGTCTCAGTCTGAGGGACAGAGCAGAGGGCGCCTCGCTGACTGGGTCTTCTTTGGGCTCCGGAGATACATAGGGAAACTGGACAGCGAGCTATTATTGTGTGCAGATTTTCACTTTCAGTGAAAAGGGAAAAGGAAAAGAGGAGCTTATCTGTGGAACTGACAACTCCTACAGAAGTTCCCTTCCCCTAAATTCCCTCTACTCCACCGAGGAGGAGCTACATCAGAACTGGGGGCTCCTTCTCTATCTAATACTGAAGAAGTGGAAGTACCTTAGGGTGGTACAGGGGGGCCCGGGATTCCATTGGGGAGAGCTATTATCTTGTGTTTATCCTGGGGGATTTCAAGAAGTGATTGAACCTTTTAAGACATTGGAAGCAAACAGAAAACAATACAATTTTTAAAAATTTTATTTTCACCTTGATGGAAAGAAAAACTCTTCCTACTCTGTTTTGACTGGGGGTATATTGGTTTAAAATTCCCAGATAATCAATAAAGGATTTTTGATAACTCAGACTCAAATAGCATTTGTTTCCTGGAGGAGTGATTTTTTTTTTTTTTTTTTTTTTTTTTTTTTAGAAAGAGCTGCAGAGGGGCACTCTGACACAGCAAAGAGTATTTCCTGCTTTTTTAGTTGAGGGGAAAGCTTTAAGTCCTTATGCTGAGGAGCAAAACTTTAAGAACTAGTAACTTTTTCTTTTCCCTTCGTTATTTTATACTTTGTTTTCAAAGTCACTGCTACATGTATGAGCTGTGCTATAAATCCAAACTGTAGTGTTGCCAGAGTCGCTGGCTCTAGAAGCAAATTATAGTTGACCACCAATGCAAGTGTTTACTCTGTGTCCTTGCTGGAGGAAATGAATGATTTGTTTTACTCGTCCAGTGTTTGTGCTCTCCAGGGTAATGACCTTCCCAACCAGATAACCCTCTCCTAAATATCAGGATGCTGATCCTTACTTTCAATTATGGCAATGTTAATTTTCAATGAAAACATTAATGCTAAGTACTGATTTGAAATCTTCCAGGTTCATTAGAGCAAAAGTAAGCTGTATTTCCTCCAAAGTTGCAAGGTAAACTGTGCACTGTTCAATACATGGAAAAATTTGAATTCCAGACCATTTCCTTCCCCCCTTAATAAAAGCATGTGCAGTGATCATACATCCTCATATTGGAATGATTTTCATTTAATAAGTGTTTATATAGCCAAAAGCATGGCAAGGGGCTTTCCATAAGAATTAACAGTATTGGAATAAATGGCAAATGCAAATATCTATCATCTTGTTATGACTTGGGGTATAAGAAAGTAATCTAAATGAAGCAGTCCTCTGAAAAACAATCAAGACACAATAGTAGTCATGACCTAGTGAAACTGAGATCCCTAGAAAATATTTCTCTTCTAATAGCATGACAAGTCTTTAAAACTCAGTGTATGGGGATTGATGCCTGGAAACATAAAGAAACTAGCTTAGCAACCATAAAGAATAAATATAAGAAGTTTACATTATGTTTTCATAAAATTATTTTTATATTATTGAGTGTGCAATGTATAAAATATATTCAGGGGTGGGCAAAAGTAGGTTTACTTTATCTTTATCTTTAAAGATTATCTTTAATCCTGGATAACTTAATTATGATGTGCCTTCCTTGGGCCCAACTTCTTTGGGACTCTGAGCTTCTTGGTCTTCCTGGAAGTCTATTTCCTTGACCAGATCGGGGGAGTTCTCTTTTGTTATTTTTTTCAAATAAGTTTTCAATTTCTTGCTCTTCCTCTTCTCCTCCTGGCACCCCTATGATTCAGATGTTGGAACATTTAAAATTGTCTCAGAGGTTCCTAAGCCTCTCCTCATTTTCTTGAATTCTTGTTTCTTCATTCTGTTCCGGCTGAATGTTCATCTCTTCCTTCTGCTCCCAATCTTAGATCTGAGTCCTGGTTTCCCTCCCTTACTGTTGGCTCCCTGTATATTTTTCTTTATTCCACTTTGCGTAGCCTTCACTTTTTCCTCCATTTTGTGACCATACTCAGCCAATTCACTGAGCATCCTAATTACCAGTGTTTTGAACTGTGCATCTGATAGTTTGGCTATCTCTTCATCACTTAGTTCTATTATTGGAGCTTTGATATATTCTCTCATTTGGGCCATATTTCTTTGTCTCAGCCCACCTGTTTTGTTGGAAGGGACAGAGCTCTAGGTATTCACCAGGACAGGGCAACCCAGGCCACTTAGATGTGACATCATATTTGGGGGAGGGGTCTGAGAGGGAACAATGCTGCTTGCTTGGCTCTTGCAAGGCTTTCAGTCACTTCCCCCACCACCCACAAGCAAATTGGGCCCTTCTAGTGCTAAATCCTGGGGGATGGGTTTGCATACATTGCAGGACCCTGTCAGTCTCTCCAACAAACTCCCCTGTAAGGCTGTGAGTTTCTCCTGATGCTGCAACCCCCACAGATTTTTACAGGCAGAGGTTTTGAGGCTTTCTTTTCCTCTCACTGGAACCCTGGGTTGTGTGGTCTGTCTCATTCCCCAGCTCTTCCTTCCAGTTTATCTGGACACAGAAAAGGGATCTCCTGGTCCTCCAGCCACCACCTTGCCACATGTCCTCTCTGCCCTGGCTGCCTGTCTCCACCCATCTTACTGGTCTGAATGAATGTTTCTTCTTTAACTTCTTGGTTGTCAGACTTCCATACAGTTCAAGTCGCTGGAAGTTCTGTTTATTTTTTGTTTTTAAATTTGTTGTTGTCCTTATTTTGGTTGTGCGAAGAGGCAAAGTGTATCTACCTACACCTCCATCTTGTCAGGAAGTCTAAATATTTACATTTAAATAAAATCATAAATGAATTGAATTAATAACATTCAAAGGAATTTTAAATAAAATCATTTCACAAACAAATGTGAAGAATAAATAGGTTCAACTCAATTTATTATTTTTCCTTATTTTTTCCCCTTGTAAGTAGCTCAGTAAAGAGTTAGAGAAAAACCATTTTATATCTTTGTATAATTTCCTTCTATTTCTGCCTATGAATTCTTCCATGACATGAATCTATGGCAGAATTAGACCAGCCAACAGTGATGCTTACAACCTATTTAAGGTTGTGGTCAGTGTCCTTGCTCTGTACTACTTTCCTACTTTCACTTCATTATTTCTCCCACCTCTTTGAAATTCATTCCTTTCTTACTTAAAACCCTTTGTCCGGTATTGTGATCCCTCCTACTTTGTTTTTCTTTCTTAAAATTGCTGAGGCTATTCGGGGTCATTTATGGTTCCATATAAATTTTTGAAATGTCTGTTCTGTTTCTGTGAAATATGTCATTGATATCTTAATAGGGATTGTGTTGAATCTATAAATTGTTTTTGGTAGTATGGACATTTTGATGATATTAATTCTTCCAGTCCATGAGCACAGTATATGCTTCCATTTATTTGTGTCTTCCTTAATTTCTTTCTTCAGTGTTGTATAGTTTTCTGCATACAGGTCTTTTATCTCTTTGGTTAAATTTATTCCTAGGTACTTTATTATTCTTCTTGCTATATCGAATGGTATTTTTTTTTTCTGATTGCTTCTTCTTCTATTTCATTGCTGGTGTACAAAAATGCCTTTGATTTCTGAATGTTGACTTTGTATCCTGCTGTTTTGCCAAATTCACTTATTAGGTTGAGGAGTTTTTTGGTAGAGTCTACAGGGTTTTCTATGTACACTATCATGTCATCTGCAAACAATGATAGCTTTACTTCCTCCTTTCCTATTTGGATGCCTTTTATTTCTGCCTTTTGATCCTGTGATTCCCCTGCTGGGACTATACCCTAAGAATCCCAGAACGCCAATACAAAAGAACCTATGCACCCCAATGTTCATAGCAGCGCAATTTACAATAGCCAAGTGTTGGAAGCAACCTAAATGCCCATCAGTAGATGAATGGATCAAAAAACTATGGTACATTTACACAATGGAATACTACGCAGCAGAAAGAAAAAAAGAACTACTAAACTTCGCAACAGCATGAATGGAACTCGATAGCATTATGCTAAGTGAAATAAGCCAGGGGGTGAAAGACAAATACCATATGATCTCACCTATAAGTGGAACCTAACCAACAATACAAAGATGCAAGGAAAATAAGACCAGCAACACTGAAAGGGAGAGAAACCAACAGAGACAAGAGGGAAGGAGGAAGGAGGGGTGGGGGAAAAGGAAGTGAAGGGGAAAGTCAAGGAACCTATAGCAAGGACTCATGAACAAAACCAAAGGGGAAGAGCTGAGGGAGGGAGGGACGGAGGGGGCAAAAGAAAGTGGTGGGGGTAGGCAGAGACAAATGTATTTGAAAAAATAAATTTAAAAAAAAAACCCCTTTGCCCTCACACTCATCTCACAGCATCTGTTCAGTCATTTCCTTACAAGAAAATCTTGGAACCTAACTTAACAGTCTCTCTCTCAAGCTCATGTCCTCCCATCATCTTACACAATCTCAAAGTCCTGACGTATGACTCTTTCAGTGCCCGTACATTTCAGTTCCTTAACTTCCTCACCTCCAGTGTCCTCTACTCCATTTCTGCCATCCACACCAACAGTCACACCTTAGCCTTTCAGAGGATTCTGACACTGCTCTACATCTGCAAACACAAATTCAGGCATTCATGTGTGTGTGCGCACATATGTGTTGAAACTTGTATATTAATGAATTTTTGCCACTGATTAGAAGTAAATCATTATTGTTGAATTTTGAGATTCCTCCTTTCTTACAATAATAAACCTTGCTGTGAATAGTAGCCTGATATACTATTATTCTTTTACTTTCCTATTTTTTAAAACAATTTCATATATAAAGAAGTTACGAGTACAGGAAATATAACATTTTTTTCTGAATTATTTCAGTAAGTTTCTAACCTAATGCCCCTCACCTCTGATTACTTTAGCGATTACTTCCAGGTTATTTAATTTGTTGGCATACAAGTATTCATATTATTTCCATATACTTCTTTATTTCATTTTCATAAAATTGATAATAATATCCTCTCTCTTATTTCTAATTTTAGTAGTTTGAGTATTTTTTCTTTGGAAATGGAATCAGTCTAGCTAGAGGCCTGCCAATTTTGTTGACCTATTTAAAGAACTAACTTTTAGATTCATTGATTTTTTTTCTCCCTATTTCTAACCTCTATTTCATTTATTTCTTATCTAATCTTTATTATTTCCATCCTTATCCTTGTTTGGGGTTTACTGTGTTTTTTATCTAATTTTCCAGGGTGGAAGTGAGATTATTAATTTCAGATTTTTCTTCATTAATACCAGTATTTATAACTATAAATAAATTCCTTCTGTTTTTAATGTGATTTTACTGTGGTTACAAACATACTTTATATGGTTTCATCCCTTTTAACTTACTGAGCCTTGTTTTATGGTCTATCCTGGAGCCTACCATATGGTCTCTCCTGGAAAACGTTCCACAGGTGCTTGGGAAGATTGTACATTTGCAATTGTTGGTCCAAGGGTACTATAG